AAGGGGGGTGTCTCCGGGTGAAAGAACCAGAGCGGAGCCCCTCGCTCCCCAGCCAGTCCAGACACCCCGTGGCCAGCAAGGCACCTCTCCTTTCCTTTGGGCAACTCTGGCGTTACCTCCGAGTCAATGGCTGGGGAGGAATCGGGGCCCTTGGCCAGAGCGTTGGCGTAATGCCAGTTGATCCGGGCAGGCTGCCCATCCCTCGGCGGCAGCGCTTCGGCCACGATCACTTGGTCCTGCGGCAGGACCATCCCACAGTCCCTGGCCACCGAGACGGCCGTCAGCATGTTGTCGCCTGCAAGGGAGCAAAGACCAGCCGTCGGGCCTGAAGGAGGTTCCCCTCTCCACTTCCCACGCGGGCAGTCGGGCCCCTTCTCAACCAGCCTCGCACTGCTCTGGTCCTGCCACCCGTCCGGGCATCTCCTGACTCCGCCCCCCCAGGAGGGCCCCAGAGCGGATCTCATATTAATCCTTGCCACCAATGGGCTCCCACGACCGGACCAGCTCTGCCCTTCCCGCAAGGCTGAGCAATGGGGGTCCTCCAGGTGGCCGGAGCCTAGCACACACACACACCCCCAGCCCTAGTCGAGAGAGCACACCCTGACGGACTCTGGGTTGCTTTCCAGCATAACCAGGGGTGTGTGTGTGTGTGTGTGTCTGTATCTGGGGGGGGCAGGGACAGGCACTGCGGTGAACGCTACTGCTTCTGTTGCTGCTTCCTCTTCTTGCAACGTGCTATCAAGTCACTTCCAACGTACGGCGACCCCATGAACGACTGGCCTCCAAAGAGTTCTGCCCTCAACAGCCCTGCTCTCAGCTCTTGCAAACCCAAGCCTGTGGCTTCCTTGAGGGAGTCTGTCCATCTCATATTGGGCCCTCCTCTTCTCCTGCTGCCTTCCGCCTTTGCTGATTCTTGCCTTGTTGACCTGATTTTGTGCTGGCTGAGAGGTGGGCTAAAAACAACTCAGAAACCTTTTTTTTTTCTTCTCGTTTTGGTTTTCTTTTAAACAACGACAGGGCGTGCTGCTTACCTGTTCCTTGTGGTTCTCGGGCTAATTACTGGTCTCAAGCAGAACTGACAAGCCACGGAGTAAAGAACAGCCACCAAAAAAACCCAAACAACGCACAAAAACCCAACGCCAATGTTTACAATGTGCTTTTTGATACCACTGGGGATAAACCACCTTCAGTCATGCTGGCAGAACCGAAGAGAGCAGGAAAAGAGGGGATCCCAAGATCAGATGGATCCGTCTGACCGAGCCCTCCGTTTGCCAGACCTGAGCCAAAGGACAAGGACTTTCCGGGCGGATCATTAAGAATGAGCCACGGCAGCCGCTGCCCACGGCGAACGAACCTGTCACCATGACGGTGCGGATGTTGGCTTTACGCAAGTCAGCGAGCACAGCCGGGGTTTCTTGCTTGAGCTTATTCTGCATGACGATCAATCCCAGGAAATCCATGTTGCCCTCAATGGCGTCTCTGCAGTGGAAAAAGGAGGAGGAGAGGGACACCCACCCCCCTGGTTCAGAGAGCAGCCCTGGCCTCCCGCTGCTGACTCACCTGAAAGGAAAGACAAGGCAAGGCCTCCCCCAACCGCTGCCCCCCAGGCTGGATCCTGAAGAGAGCGCTGCAAAAGGGCCAGGAAGGCTCAAGGCGAAGGGAGGGCAGGGGGAGGAAAGCCCCAGCGGAGACCTGGGAAACCTCTTGAGGAGGGGAGGCAGTGCAGGCCCCCTGGTCAAAAAGGCCCAGATCCAAGCAGCAGCAGGTACAGGAAGGGAGGGCACTCGGGGACTGCAGAAAGGAGGGCCTGCATCGCCAGGATGGACACCAGGAAGGGCTTCCCCACACGAGGAAGGCCTGGGTCCCTCCTAGCAGGTGAGGGTCTTCTAAACCCAAAGCAACTTCAGTGACCACAGCAACTCCCTCCGCTGTCAGAAAAAGAAGAACAGGAGCTCCCAAGGGCTGGGGGGTGGGTGGGTTTGGGAAGGCGGCAAGAGGGACGCCAAAGAGGAACTCCTCCAAGGCGCGGCCTTTCCCCGCAGAGTCTGTGCCAGGAGAGGTCAGCCGGTCACCTCCCCAACCAGGCCGCCTTACCGTCCCTTCCGTGGTCTTTTGTAACCTACAGGAAACCCCAACACCATTAAGGCCAGGCGGGGCGGGGGAGAGATGCAGGTACTGCCCACGGCCCATGGCCCCTCGTCTGGCAGAGGGAACTTTCAATTCACGTCGGCCCTTTATATTCCAAGCCTGTGCACGGCCGCACCGGGCCAACCATCAGCTCTGGGACCCAGCGGTCCCCCTGCATTAACTCACCGGCCCACGTGCTGGACTTTGTGCCAGGTCAGCCTGGACTCCATCTTTCGGTGAGCAAGAGCGATGACCCGGAAGCCCTGCCTGGTGTATTCTTCCAAGACCCTCTCAAAGTCCACAGGCACTGGGGGAGAGAGGAAACGGAGGCATGCACTTATTTATTTTATTTATTTTAACAAAGAGCTACCCCTGAAATGTCTCCCGCCCCTTGGAAACCCAACCAGGGCCGCCGCTGGTTGGAACGGACTTGACAGCACGCGACAGAAAACCACCCGGTGTGACCTGGGGGTGGGGGCAGGCACGGCCCCCTCCCTTCACCTGTTTCGTGCTTGCATAATCCCGCGACCACCTCCGGCGCCCCTTTCACGTAGGCGTCCATCCGCTTTTGCCCCAGCGCTCTGGCCACCACGCACATCCGTTGCAAGGCCGAAGAGAAAGGGAACTGCCGCACGATGCCGATCTCGTAACTGGCCTAGGCCAGGCGAGAAGCCGGAGGGGAGACAGGAGGAGAAGCAGGGGGGTTAGGCTGGCTCCCGGCTGGCGTCTCAACCCACAGAACGTGGGGGTCGAAGGAAGCAAAAGGGGAGGCACTCACCGGAAGTTCAAAGAGCTCCTGCGAAGGAAAAGGACGAGAGAAAGAAAAGAAGGTCTCACCATCTGAAGAACTCCCTCCTGCCGCACGACACCCAAAACACCTCCTCCAATCTCCAGGCCCTTTAATTCCCTTACTAAACCCCTTTGTGCGGGGGGCGGGGGGGAGACTCCCTCCCAGATGTGAAGGGGCATCCACATGCGTCCCCCTGATTTTCTCCCCACTCCCTTTTTAAAATCTTTTGTCCTGTGGACAGGCTTTTTATTATTTTACATGTCTGTGATGATTTTATTTGATCCTATTTGTATCTCAATCCATTGTGACAGCTTTTAGCTAATTAGTTAGTTAGGCATCCTTCAGTCTCAAAAGACTATGGTCACGTGCTCTGTATGGAGGTCTTGGAACAGTGTCTAGTGTGGCTGAGAAGGCCAATTTGAGAGTGACACAATCCCTTCCACCCTGAGGACAAATACGGTCTGTCCCCTGTCCAGCTCCCTGGTTTTGCTGCTTTCGGGACGGCCTCTTTGCTTCAGCCTGCTGCACAAGGGTCTCTTCAAAATACAATTTTAGCCAATACACTAAACTTAAACTTGGTCCATTACTAAACAAAAAGGAAGACACTTTCTGGAGGTCTCTCTTCTACACAGCCACACAGCCAGTGTTTTCCCTCCCTCTCTCTTTGTCACACACACACACACACCCCGAGAGAGAGAGAGAGAGAGAGAGAGAGAGACACGCTCAGTCTCAACCACGAGGATCAATCGAGGGAGGGTTCTGGCCAGAAAGGCAATGTTAAGATATTATTTCAGATTAAAAATCTGCATCGTTAACCATGACCAGCGGATCTTTCCAGAGCGGGACAACACCTGAGGGTAGAAGGAGCCCCAGAGTTCTTGGCAGCGTTGGCGGGAGAGGCAGGAAGGCCCCTGCTCTTCAGAAGGGAAGCAGGAGAGAGAAAGGCTGGAGGAGGCCCCCCTCGATTTACCATTTCTTTGTCGGCCGCAGGTTTGGAGTCTGGAAGAAGCTGCTTAGGGGGCCGGACGACCGTGGGCATAATCTGGTTATGAAGCGCCGTTTCCTCTTCTGTGGCTTCTTCCAGAATCTGAAGGGAAGGAGACATCACCCGCTTGCTTTGCAAGCCCCATCTGGGAACGGGCAGCTCTGGAGGCAGATGATGTCCTGCAAAGCTTCCAGGCGGAGAAGAACGCCAGCGGCCCGTTGCTGCCCAAGCAGCACGGCATCTGAATACCCTGCCTTTTTGAGAGGCATTCTGGCCTTTGGCCGCCCAAGGCCACTCGCTCCCTCCCTCCACCCTCCAAGGCAGGGGTTGCTCCTCACCCATCCCGTGGCTTCGAACATTTTCAGATCGAGCGGGTCCCCCGAGAGCGCTCCTTCGATCTTGGTCAGGGAATGGCAGGTGGCCATGCACGCCACAAAGGGCGACCTGACCAGCCTCTCGCTGCAGGCGCTGCCTTCCGGGAGAAGGAAGCTGGAGGGAGAAGAGGGAGGCGCCTCGAGCAGCGTCCGCCGCTTGAAGGGGACCTTCCTTCCAGAGGAAAAGCCCCGAGGAGGCCCGCGTCTCCTCCGACAGCCCCACCAGGCCCACAGGTCATGGGAAACCCAAGCCCCCCCCCCAATTCAGACAGAACCAGGAGAATCCGGATCAATTGGGCCTCCTGGCCGACCTGAGACGGAGGTTCGTTCTCCCAAAGACACCAAAGGGACTCCGGCAACCCCCTGTTTCTGGGGAACCTGCTTTACCCCCGGGGGGGGGGAGATGGCAGGCAAACTTTTAATCGGGGGCTTCTACGGCCCTTTGGAAGTGGGAAGGAGGGAGGAAAGCAGCTCCGCCCAGGGAATCCGAAGGTGCCCAAAGGGTCGGCCGGACGGTCTGGGTCAGAGGACACAGGCTCAGCCCCTTCCCTCTGGGGCCCCGAGGACCCTTCCCAGCCACCCCTGGGGGCCACCCAGGCCATGCTCCCTCCACCGACTCACCAGGCTTTCTCCACTCTCTGGATCCCCCAAAGGTCCAGGCCATCTTCCGTGAGGGTGCCTGTCTAGGGGCGGAGGAGGAGGAGGAGAAAAGGGGAAAGAGTGTGGCTTGGAAGCTGAGCCTGGCCTGTCCCCCCCTCCCGTCCCCCCCCCAACCGGGGCCCAGTCTTCCCGGGGAGCTCCCAGGGCCCAGCCCCTGCTACTTGGTTTCCTTAACAGAAAGATACAGAAGCCAAACCAGGTCTTAAATCCAACGGTAAAAGAAAGGGTTTGCAATAAAACGGAATCTAAACCAAACCAACTCTTAACATATAACCCACCGATAAACAAGAAGCCAGTATTTTTCTCTAAGAGGCAGAGAACACAACTTTCAGAACCTCCTTAAAAACAGCTTCTAATGGGAAATCCAACAGCCAAACTTACGCCCACCCATGGAGATCTTCTGGGAAATAAAACGTTCCCAGTGATCTCCCAAAGGGTCCCACGGAATCCCTTCTATCAGCAGGAAGCCATTGGAGGTGGCAGGACAGGAGGGGAATCTGTTTGTTTCCTAAAATAATCACAGGATTAATGCTTTTACAGGCAGAGATGATTTAGGGGAAATTAAAGTCTCCCCCCCCCTCAGTTGTTTCCCCAAAGGGATTTGTAAGCTAACTTAGAGATTCAGGGGGAAACGAGAAATCTTTCATTCACAAAAACCACACCACACCAAACCAGAACCCACCAAAACAATGTTTTAACACAGCATTTCATCCCTACGGCAAGCAGAGGGCAGCATGACGTCTCCTCCCAGGATCTTTCAGGTGTCTGATGGAGACCGGGGGGAGGGGGGGCGAGCAGAAATGAACTAAATGTGGGGGAGGGGGAGGCACACTTTAACCTCTTCTACCCCCTCACCCCCCACACACACACACACCACATCCTGGTAGGTGGATCTAAACCTCAGCTGGATTTGGTGCCCTGACGGAAGGCTGGCTGAAAAGCTGCCCCATCCCCAGGACCGGCTTGGGGGCAAGGCTGGGGTCAGCTGGAGCCACGTGGCTGGGGGGAAGGGAGGGGGCAGAGGGCCCAGCATCTGCCTCCAGGCAGCTGGGATGATGGAAGCCTGTGCCTTCTTTCCATTCTCCACCTTGGAACCCACCGTTGGTCAGCCTGGGGGAGGCGGAGAGGGAAGCCGAGAAGGGAGATCCAAATGCAAAGGCCTTTTTCCGTGACTTTTGCACACAGGGTCCACCCCCCCCCAGCCACCACGCCCCAGAGCCCTTTCCAGCAGAGCCCCTGGGCATGGCCGCATGCTCTCCGCAACTCCTCTGGGTACATAAATGCACTTAATGAGAATGGAGTCTTTCCCTGGAATCTGAAGGCATGCAAGCTCTGCAGGAGGGACCCCCCCTCCCGAACTCCCTTCGGCTAAAAGCCCTGAGTCTTCCTTCAGCTGAGCCCTGAGAGGGTGCCCCCCCCCGTCCCCTACCCCACCCTGCTGTGTGCCCAGATTCCACAGCAGGGCTTCCCTGCCCTCAAAGCAGGTATTCAGGCTAAAGAGCTGGAAAGGAAGATGCTCTCTTTCTCTCTCTCTCTCCCTCTCTCTCTCTCTCTCTCTCTCTCTCTCTCTCTCTCTCACACACACACACACACACACACACACACACACACACAAAGTGCGTGGGGTTGCAAAACCTTGTCCTTCAGCTCTGACGTATCTTTTTTTTCTTCCCAACAAAAAGAGAAGATGGTCCTACTGCAGCCTTTGCATCCATTCCCTCCCAGAAGTGGGCGAGGGTGAAAGAAAGCTTGAATTGCTCGCCCCCCCCTGCCCCCCCAAGGCACACCAGCCTGAGTGGGCCCTGCAGGGACCACTCCCTGCAGGGCCCAGATCCCACTGCTAGTCTCAGCTAGAGTAGACCCACTGCGGGAAGTGCTGCTGAGTGGGTTATGTCGGCCCTCAGGGACCATGCGCTCAGTTGGGGACAGGTCTCCAGAAGCCGTTATGGCCTCTGCCCCCGACTCCCCAGCAAGGGGACCTTTCGGCGCCAAGGGCCAACCTTGTCGAAGCAGACCAGGTTCAGCTGCCCGCAAATGTTGATCCTCTGAGGGCTGATGCAGAAGATGCCGACCCGCTTCAGACGCCGTTGGGCATAAACGATGCCCGCTGTCATGGCGGCAGGAAGAGCCGGCGGGATGGTGATGGTGATGATGTCCAGGGACTCAATGATGATGATGTGGGCGGAAACCTGTGGAGGGAAGGAAGGAAGGACCAGATAGGCGGGGTATAAATGGAATGAATGAATGAATGAATGAATGAATGAATGAATGAATGAAGGACAATACGCAAGGGCTAAGAGGGAGCCTGGCCGCCTACACACGATGCAAAGGAGTGCCATGCCCAGCCCAGCACCCAGCAGATCCAGGCAGGGGCGAGAGGGACTCCTGCCGCCGCTGCTGGAATTTGGCCTCCGGAGCTCCCAGGGGACGTTTGCTGAGAAGCACTGCCCCAGCCGGCTCTCTTGGCCTGGACCGGCAGATCCCAACCCTGGCTGCCCAGAGGCTCCCAGGCCACAACTCTGAGAAGAGCTGGCCGTGGGTCGCAGGGAGGTCAAGCTGGGCACAAAAGCCATGGGGTGGCTTCGAGAACCTCCAGAGAAACGGGGAGAGGCCTTTCAGGGGGACAAAGCGGGCATGGCAGCCATACCTTATTGAGGATGCTGATGACAATTGTGTACAGGAACCCAACGCCGGCCACCCCAACAAGGCACAGCAAGAACAGGTAGGCATCTCGGTAGAGCTTAAAATCGGTTGGCTTTGGGTACAAGATGGAACGGACCAGCTGCCCTTTTGCAGTGCTGAAGCCTGCCAGGAAGGAGAGGAGAGGAAAGAACCGGTCAGCCACGCAGGGCCCACCCCCCACCCCACCCCCTGCTCAGAGCGGCAGGAAGGCAGACCGTCCTCGAGGCACAACCCCCCGGGGGGGGAGGAGGATCAGTCTATCCCTGCTCTGCATGCAAAACCGACTCAAGGCTCCTGGGCAGACCCCAAGGGGCAACATCCCTGGGGAGACCCTCTCTCTTGGCTGAAGAGGAGGCAGGAGGCTAGCCGGGGGCTGCCAAGACATTCACCTGTCCGGACGACCACGGCTTTGACCAGCTCGCCTGCGTAGAAGCGGGTCTGGATGACGGTCGTGCCACAGAAGAGGGTGTGGCGACGGTGCCCTTCAGGGCTGTACACCTCGTCCGCCACCCCTTTGGGGTCCTCCGTAGGGTTCGGCAGGTTGGTCTTTGTGACGGGAACGCTTTCACCTGGTGCAGAGGAGAGGCAGGCGGACTGGAACACCGGCACCAAACCCCGCCCACTGGGCCCCAGCACCAGCCAGGAAACCCAGTACCCAGCAGTGCAATCCCGGTCACCCCCGTCCTGTCCCGTGTTACCTGTCAGCATGCTTTCATTGACGATGCACGTCCCGCTGACCAGCACTGCGTCGCACGGCATAATCATCCCGTTCAGAGGGACCACAATGACGTCTCCGGGCACAAGGTCCGTGGAGAGGATCTCCTCCACACCTGTGGGTGCACACGGAACCGTCCCACAGATCACAGGATCTGACTTCAGGAAGCTTCTGGTCATGGGGAGGCCCCTGGCCGTGGGTGGGGTGGATACCAGCCAGTAATTGAACACCCTCCTCCTTCCTCTGACCCCCCACCACCACCACCACTTGTGCGTCCCTGGAACAAGCTGCAGACGCCCGGATGGAGCCCTTGCAGAGAGGCTTTTTAAACCAAGGCAAGGGCTGCAGGTTGCTGACCCACCCCACCCCCCCGACGGGGAGGGGAGGGGAGAGAGAAGAAGATGAAAGGAGGGAAGGGGAGAGAAGAGAAGAGAGAGGAAGAGAAGAGAAAAGAATAGAAGAACCACTTGTGCGTCCCTGGAACAAGCTGCAGACGCCCGGATGGAGCCCTTGCAGAGAGGCTTTTTAAACCAAGGCAAGGGCTGCAGGTTGCTGACCCACCCCACCCCCCCGACGGGGAGGGGAGGGGAGAGAGAAGAAGATGAAAGGAGGGAAGGGGAGAGAAGAGAAGAGAGAGGAAGAGAAGAGAAAAGAATAGAAGAGAAGATGAGAAGAGAGGAGGGGAGGGGAG